GGGCGGGGGGAAGGCGCCTGTGAGGGCGGGAGGTGTGCGGGGAGGTGAAGTGCGGGGTGCGGGTCTCCAGGAAGGAGGTGCAGGAGGCGGGAGGTGGCGGGAGGAAGGTCCGGACGCAGAGCGGAGGGCGTTCCGTCCCGGGCTCTCGGCTCGCAGGGGTGCAGCCCCGGCCCCCCGCTTTGGCCTCCTCCGGACGCCGCTCTGCTCCGGGTCGGTACCCGAGGAGGCTCGGCTCCCAGGGCGGCCGCGGTGGCTCCGGAAGATGCCGGGCCGGGGCTGGGAGAGGGGGCGGCGATGCGGCCCCCAGGCCGCTCCATCGGCAGAGGGCCGGAGCCGGGTTCGAGGCCGAGCTCTGCCGGTGGCTTCGGGACCCCGCTCGGCCACGCGAGGGGGCGGGGGGCCCAGGCCGGCGACTTCCTGCCGCTCCCCTCCCCCCGGGCGCGCAGCCGGGTCTCATTAGCTCCCCCCCCCGGGGCCGGGGGGTCTCCGCGCCGGGGCGGGGCGTGTCCTAATCAATCCCAGGCCGGAAATTCCTCCCGAGGGGCCCGGGGGCTGCGGGAGCGACGGGCCGGCGCGGAACCTGGCCGGCCTCCCGCACTCCCCTCCTCCGGGCCCGCCCCCCGCATCATGGAAACTGGGCGGCCGGCCGACCCCCGCGCTCCGCTCCACATTCTCGCCTCTGGGGCGGGCGGGGCGCGGGGCCCCCCTCCGGCTTCGGGACAAGCACCCCCACCCCAGACTGGACGCATCTTCTAGGCTGTTAGGGAGGCAGAGCAGGACCCGCGACACCCATTCGGTTCCCTCAGCTCTGGCGGCCGGGGTCACCCCAATCACCCGCCCCCTCGCCGTGAGCGCCGCAGGGGGATCCGGGCTGCGCCCCGCGGGAGGATGCGAAGCAGACACCATACGCCCATTTTACAGGTGAAGACGGTGAGGCCCAGGGAGAGGAAAGCCCGGCGAAGCAGGACCTCGGGCCGCCGCCTCCAGGCAGCCCCCCGGGGCGCTGGGCGTCCTCGAGCGCTCAGCCGCCCCCGCAGGTCCTCTCCCGGCGCCTGGACCGAGGGGCTCTGGGCGGCGCGGAGGGGGCGGCCCGCGAGTCCCGCCGCACGGAGCTCAGCCTGCGGGCCGGGCGGCGGCTCCCAGCCCCGCGCTCCGCCTCCCCGCGTGGGAAGAGGGCGCCCCCTCGGCCTCCGCGAGCGGCCACCGGGCTCACCTGCGCCCAGACCTGCGCGCGTGCGTCCTCCCCGCGGCGGGGCCTGGCGGGCGCGGGCCGGACGGTCCCCGGGCTCCCGAGGGGCGGGGCCGGGCGGCGCGGGGCGGGGCGGGGGCGGGACCCGCGGCCCAGATTCGCTGGAGGCGGCGGCAGTGCCTGGAGCCGCGGCGCGCGGACTCGGACCCGGACCCACCCGGGCGCGGCGGCGCCAGGTGAGCAGAACTAGGGTCCGGGGTTTGTCCCCCACTTTCCCCAACTTTTTGCTGGGCTCCTCGCCCCGGAAAGGCCCGGGAGGGTGTTGGAGCCGGTCCTCCTCCTCCGGCCGAAGTGGGGACGAGGCGGAGGCGGGAGTCCGAGAACTTCCCGAGACCGGGACCTTCGGGCCGGACGACCAAGTTTTGGCCGCTCTGAGCTCCCAGCGCCGACCCACACCCCCGAGCCTGGGGTCTCGGAGCGTGTCCCCATCTCCCGTCCTCCGCGGGGGCTCGGAGGTGATCTCCCCGAGTTGGGACTGGGGCTCGCTCTGACCGGGGCTGGGAGAGGGCCTCCCACTCCTGCACAAGCGGGTACCGGGCCTCGCCTCCTGCCGGGACGCTCCGTTGCTGCACCGCGAGGTGTCCGGCCCTGAGCTGGGCCCGGGCCCGGTGGAGCCCCCGCCTTGGGCGGTGTGACCCGGGCAGGCCCCTCTCGGCCGCAGTTGCCATCTGTGAAAACCCGGCGGTGGACGCGCGGATGCTGCTGCCCGTGCTGGGCCCTGGACTTCAGCTCTCCTCTCGCGGGCAGGGATGGGCGTCCTGCTTCGAGCTTCGGGGTGCGGCTGGGGAGTGGGTAGGGGAGCAAGGCCTCCTCCCTGGGGCCTTGGGGCGGGTTCCAGCGCTGAAGCTGCTTAGGAACCAGATTCGGGATGTGAGGACGCACCACTGGCCCGCGAGGTCCTAACCGTCCTCTCCTGCGGTCCCGGGGGCCCCGTTTCTCCCCGCACCCTCCCTTCCGTGGGGGCCGTACCACACGCAGCCGGTTGCTCCTGCCCCAGCCCCAGCCCGGATCCAGCCCCCAGGCCGGGCTGGACCAGCAGCCGGGAGGGGCTTCAGCTGGCGGCCCGGACCCGGGGGTGGCCCGAGGCGCCGGGGCGGTGCTGCACCGGCCGGGACGCGGGCCACGGAGGCCTCGGGCGGAGGAGGCCGGAAAGGAGGCCAGGCGGCGGGAAAGGGGGATGATTCATCCGGAGGAGCCCGAGTTGGAAACGCTGCAACCTGGGAACAGCCTTGTCCGGGCCGAGGGGAGCGCCAGGAGGGAGTCCCGGACCAGGCGGAGTGCGGCCCCGCAGCCCCGGCCTCCTGCCCGCCGCAGCCTGGCTGCTGGGGGCGGGGCGGCCTCTTCTGCGCGGAATTGAAAGGAATCCTGGGCCACGTCTGCGCTGGTCGAGGTCAGAGCGGGCTCCCGAGTCTTGCTCAAGTCTCTCCTGCTGCAGCTCCATGAAGGAGGGGGCGGGCGGGAGGCTGGAGTCAGCGACACCCCCTCCTTCCTACGCTGCGGTACGTGAAGCGCAGTGTGGGGAAGGGGGCCCGCGAGCCGCTCCAGCGGACCGGGCGGTACCCCCCCGCCCCCCTTTACCACGGTGCAGCCACGTGCGGGGGTGAGGTCGGCCCGGGCCGGACTTACACTGGAGACGCCGCTGCCGGGGCTCCCACACCTCCCGAGGCCCGGGACCCGCGGGCCGGCGAAGAGGGGTCGGCGGGCGGCCAGAGCCCCGCAGCCGAGGATGCGCCAAGGAACAGCCGGCGCCCCTCCCTCCGCTCGCCCGCAGGCTCGGCCAAGTCGGGCTTCTGCCGCGCGGCCCTGGCTCCGAGCTCCGCTGCGGAAAACCGGAGTGGGGGCGGCTCCCCGCCTGGCAGCCCGGGAGAACCCGGGGGCGGCCGCCAGGGATTTCCAAGCGAGATCCTTGGCGAGGCGGCCCGACCTTCCCTCCCGGATCTGTGTCCCCGACCCTAGGCCCGTCGGTTCAGCCCTGCCTCCCGCTTCTCTCCACAGAGCGCCCAGACGACGGCGAGATGACGGCCGGGAGCCCCGGAGACCGCGGGGAGGTGCGGAGGAGCCCCGAGGGCCGCGTGTCGCGCCTGGGCCGCCGCCTGGGCCGCCGCCGGCGCCCGCGCTCCCCTCCCGAGCCTCTGCGGGTGCGGGCGCGGCTGCGGCTGCGCTCGCCGTCGGGGGCGTTCGCGGCGCTGGGGGCGCTCGTGGTCCTGGTGGGCATGGGCATCGCAGTGGCCGGCTACTGGCCGCACCGCGCCGGGGCCCCGGGGCCGCGAGCTGCCAATGCCAGTGCGCCCCCCGTGAGCGAGCTGCGACGCGAGGGTCGCGGTGCCAGCCGGGCGCACGGCCCACACGAGCGGATGCGGCTCCTCGGGCCGGTGGTCATGGGCGTCGGCCTGTTCGTGTTCATCTGCGCCAACACCCTGCTCTACGAGAACCGCGACTTGGAGACGAAACGGCTTCGCCAGGGGGTGCTGCGGGCTCAGGCACTCCGGCCCCCCGACGGCCCCGGCTGGGACTGCGCCCTCCTGCCCAGCCCCGGCCCCAGGACTCCCGGAGCCATCGGCTGTGTGGAACCAGAGAGTTGGGACCTGTCCCCGCGCCGGGGCACCTCCCCGGTCCCCTCCGTGCGGAGTCTGCGTTCAGAACCTGCTAATCCTCGCTTGGGGTTGCCTGCCCTGCTCAGCAGTTACCCACTGAAGGGCCCGGGGCTGCCCCCACCTTGGGGTCCACGGACCCAGACTGGCCATGTGATTATCACCGTGCAGCCCTCGGGGTCCGGCATCGAACACTCCAAGTCTCTGGATCTGGGCCTCGGAGAGCTCCTGCTTGGGGCCCCGGCAGCTCGGGACTGTGCTCACCGAAGCTGGCCCCGGCTGGACCGCCTCAGCCTGGAGGGTTATACCAAGTTGGGAGGAGGAGGGGACTTCGGGGCTCCGGTTTGAGGAGCTGGGCAGCCTGCTACGAGGCTGCAGCATGGACCATCGTCATAGGACCAGGAGTCCCAACGTCTAGTAGATGCTTGTCACATCCCAGACTGGGGAATGGATGCTTTGGCCCAGCAGCTGCTAAGGCATCCTGACTTGCACGTCGGCAGAGAAATGCCAACTGCACAGGGTTCAATAAGCTGGAAAGTGTTTTCATGTGAACTCTGGAGATCAGCATGACTCGGCCTCAGGAATTCCTTTAGCCTCCGAAGTGGCCTTAGCCCTGAACAGGTACCTGAGGAGGCTGGAAGGCCAGGCCAGGGTGATTGGGAGATGCACCTGGTGTCTTGGCAAAACCCAATGGTGGGCAAGAACCCCTAAGACTTGGAAGGTAGGTTGAGATGTTACAGGTTGGGACAGGCTCCCTCCAAGGTGGCACTGGTGATGGGGTTTGGGCCTCCAGGAAGATGGGCAATGGGGTACAGTTGTGACCCTTCACTGCCATCTGGGATGGGGACTGAGCCTTTAACTCTCACCACCTCAATCCCTTTCTTCCCTCAGCCATGCAGGGTATATCCTCCTAGGGCTACAGACTGCCAATGCCTCCTGCTGAGGGCCTGGCCCCTCCCAAGCAGGTCTGGGAGCCCCCTTCTCTCCTTGTCCTGGTCTATGCTGCAAAATCTCCCTCCTGTTGGCCAAAGGCATTTGCCAATTCTCAGAGACCTTTTTATACGATATTGAAGCTGCGTTTTGGCCAATGTGGGTAACTTTCTTTTTAGCAAGAGGGGAAGATAACTTTGAAAGTTGATCAATCCTCACAGATTCAGTCCTTTTTTTTTTTTTTTGAAGTTTATTGAAAAATGCAGTACAAGAAGCAAGACCAAACACTTGTCTAAACACTACAGCCACTTCTCTTACTACAAAAGGCCAAAACAGCAGACTTAATTATTGCCTATTTAATCTAAGGATTTTGCCAATTTGATTCTGCTGCCATAGTTCCTATTTTGTCAAATGTAAACAACTACTTGATATGATTCATAATTTTTTAAAATTTTACAAAGCTCCTTCATTTTTGTCACCAAAATAATACATTTGAGAGAGATTTGTAAAACCACCAGCCTGGGGCTGAGATCCCGGTAGACAGTTCCCATGAGCATTCCTGGGGGTCGGTAAGGCCACAGCCGTGGCTCGTCTCTGAGATGACTGCTGTCCCGTCACCCTCCGCTGCCCTGCTGCAAAACGGGGGTTGGGGGGGAGGTCTGGGAAAGGTGTTGAAGACGCCCTGACAGCCAGGCTCTGTGGGCCCTCCGCTTATAAATGCAGGTCCGGAGTGGTGGGTGGGTGGGTGGCAGAGACCTCGGGTGGCTTGGAGGAAGTCTTTATTTCTCAAGTGAAATAAAAATAAAATTGCAGCGAGAGTTGTTACTGTGATGTGTCTGAGTCACTAGGAAAACTGCCAAGTCCCTCTCCTCTTCATTTCCTACCTGGACAGAGTCTGCTTTTCTTCATGCACACACACACACACGCACACACAACTGCAGGAAGAAAAAGTCTGACTATTGCCAAACCTCAGGATCTGTCAGCAGAGAGGGAGGAGGGGGAAGAGGCCTGGAAGGACATCCCTCATGCTAGCTTGTCCCCAGTGTGACTTCCTGGTGCGGGAAGGGCGTTACAGATCTGCTCCAGTTTACAGACAGGGAGCAGCAAGGAGAAGTGCTGAGCTGGTGACAGAGCTGAGGGAAGGGTAGGCCCCCTGACGCGTGGTCCTGTGCTCTGAGAGCTGCCACATGGTCGGGGTGGTCACCTGGAAATGCTTCTTAGCGGGACCTGAACGAGGTGAACCCCTCATCCCCCTGTGTGCAGTGCACATTCCCAGAACTAGAAAACCTTTCAAAAACCTCATTCATTTTCTTTGCCCAAATCACCACTAAAAATGTGCCATTAGTGCTTTTGGCCCAAAGTGCCTATTTTCCTGTGAGTTTTGCTCTCCTGAGATGGGAGGTGGGGGAGTACCTAGCAGAGCCAGCGCTTCTGGTGAGGTAAAAAGGGTCGGAGGGCAGGAAGGTGAAGGCCACGATCTGTTAAAACATTCACAGTATCAGATAGAGCTGAGCAACTTCTTATATCTTTGATCTAAAGAATCTCCAAAAAGAAAGAACAGGAGGGAGGAAGGAAAAGCAATGCCACATTCTTGGCAGAGGTCTCTGCCTCCCCCAAACCACCCTCCGCAAAGGGACAGGGACTCTGCTGGGTCTGTGGATCGGGGCAGCACCCTGCCCGACATTCCTGTAAAGTCACATCATTGGCTCTGAGAAAGGGCTGGTTTTTTAAAGTTTCAACTGTCACCCAAAGGGTATAAAACTAGGGGAGAGCAGGGCAGCCCCATGCAGCTGGCTTTGGCCCCAACACAGCGGGGACAGTCTTTGGAGGCTTCCAGAAGAATTCTGTGGGCCCTGTCAGCATCTGGGTTGGAAATCAATGGGAAGAGGCTGGGCTGAAGGGGTTACAAACCACCCCATAAAAAACCAAAAAGCTCTTTAAAAACAGTTCGTAGAGTGAAAAGTTGAACAGTTCTAGTATCACAATATAGAAAAAGGTATTCAAAAGGTCAGTGATGTCTAAAAGACTCTGTTGGTATAAACTCCAAATAGAAAGTGAAATTAATTTTCTGGTGGCTTAGAACCTTGGAAGTCTGAAGTCTGACTATTGCAGTTAGCTTCTTTGTCGTTCCTCTGGCTTTCTCTTGGATGGGAGACGGGCAGGGGGTCGGGGGTAAGTGATTCCTAGAGGAAAGAAAAGCAAAGTTGGTAAATCCTGCAAGGAGACTCACCCAGTCCCATCACCAAGTTCTTGTGGCCACAAGTAATAACCAAGGCCTGCGCGGTTTTACAGGACCCAGTCCTGACGGGTGATGGATAGCATCTTCCAATCATTTGTAAGTCACTTTTAGGCATGAATTTATCTGGATCCCTGTCTCTCAAACAGCAGCTCCCCTGCTGCCAACTCTCTAGTCTACTGCGAGAACTTCAGTCATTTCTCCCTGTCCCCCAGCCCCTCCGTCTCCAGGCAGCCTGGCCCTGTCTTTCTTGGTTTTGTTCTCTGGCTCTTCTCTGTGAGAGCAGAGAGGAGAAGGGGAGGTGCGCAAGGTGGAGCAGCAGGGACTGCATGAAGATTCAGGAGGTGGGTGGGGTTTGCTTCCACATTTGGGTTATCGCCTCCAACCAGCACTGCAGGCACTAAGGGCGGGAGGACACAGGAGACCTGGCTGCTTTAGTTGGAGCCAAATACTTAATAACCTCCTATGTTGCCCTCGTCAACCTCTCCTCTGCCTTCACTGTACCCAGCTCCAGGGTGGACGCCTCTGGGGGGATGGTTCCCAGAGTGGCCAGGGTTCCTGGCCAGTGCTCTCTGAGGCTGGAGAGGGAGCACCCTCCACTACAGCAGGAATAGCCCCTACCTGAGCTCATTCCTCAGAGATTTCAGTCTCCTGATGGACGACCACCTTGGTTACTGACATGTCCGGGTGCTGCTCCTTTGCCTCCTTGATGGCCTGCACCAGGACCTGAGGAGGACAGAAAGGGCACCCATCAGGCAGGAAGCAGCTTGGCCAGTGAGGTAAGGTCACAGGACAGCATTTTCCTGGCAAATTCAATCCTGTCTGCAGCACCAAGGCAGCATTCAGGCTAAGCCAAGCTAATGATGACCGTCTCCACTCTATCCTGCATAGGGAGGCTCCTGGATAAAGGCACAGAGACAGGGAGGGTGAGAGCATCTTTAAGGAATCAGAGAGGGACTTCAGGGGTGAAGGCTGCACCTGCTGGGTGGGTCTGGGAGGATCCACTCAGAAGTGAGTCTAAAGAACAAAGCAAAATCTGTGTTCAGCAAACGGTGCCTGGGAAGCTCAGAATAGGAGAGGAAAAGGAAGATGCGTACTACCAAAAGGAAGAGGTGGCTTTGGCTAAAGTAGGGAGAAGAAAGGAGGAGCAGGAGAGCCGAATTCCATGCCATGTACTAGCCTAACCACATTACTTATTATTATGTAGTTAATCTTCACAACAACCCGGTGCACGAGGGCGGAATCATTATTTCCCTTTTATAAACAAGGAACTGAGGTTCAGTGGTTAAAGTGCTAAACGTTTCACAGCTAGTAACGCAACAGGCGTTTTAACTCAAGTCCATTGGGCTTTCCTCTTTACCACATGGTTTATCAGATGGGGGGGGGGGCTGTCTTAGCATCTGAAGGGGTTTGATCATTTCAGGGAAGCTAGAGGGGGCAACGGGAAAGAAGAGCAATGAAGCCACTACTCTCCTTGGGCTGCAAGTCTCTGAGACTTTAGCCTTTGGAGTCTGGTGGCACACCAATTCTCAGAGAAGTGCCCCCCTCCCCCATTAAAAAGGACTCTAGCTAGATTTGACCAGCTGACTGTTGACCCAGCTCTTAAGAACCATCTCTAAGCCTGGCTGGTGTAGCTCAGTGGTTGACCGTCGACCCATGAACCAAGAGGTCTCGGGTTTGATTCCTGGTCAGGGCACATGCCCGGGTTGTGGGCTCAGTCCCCAGCAGGGGGTGTGCAGGAGGCAGCCGATTGACATTTCTCTCATGCATTGATGTTTTTTTCTCTCTCTCTCCCTCTCCCTTCTTCTCTGTCTAAAAATCAATAAGAAAATATATATTTTTTAAAAAAAGAACCGTCTCTAAGCCTTGGCTGGTGTAGCTCAGTTGGATGAGCACCATTAGGGCACCAAAAGGTTGCCAGTTTTATTCCCAGTCAGAGCACATGTCCGGGGTTGCAGGCGTGATCCCTAGTAGGGGGCTTGTGGGAGGCAGGCAATTGGTGTTTCTCTCTCACATTGATGTTTCTCTCTCTCTCTCCCTCTCTCCCCCCCCATCCCCTAAAAGTCAATAAATATACTTTTAAAAGAACCATCTCTAAGATGGAGCAACAGGGGAAGAAGGGAAATCCTCTTTTGATCTTTGTTTTGGTTAATCCTCACCCTCCTTGACCTCTTTTTGCTCAACTCATCTGCTCATGCTTCAAGGCCCAGCCCACGCCCTCTCCGGTTACTCCGGCCTTCACCTGCCTCTCTATGAAAGCCTGCATCACACAACTTCTCCTGAATAGTCCTCCTTAAAGTGCTCCCGCAACCCATCCAGGGGCCACCGCACCTCCTTTCACGTAGCCCTCAGGACCTAGAGAACCGCGGACCCGGAGCCTCTCTCTGAGCTATCAAGTGTGCTTGTCCCTGTGTCACAACAGCCCTGAAGAAACCTCCGATTATCTTTATTCTATAGAAAGGGAACCACATCTCAGAGAAGTAAAATCATCTGCGCAAGGGCATGCACCCCGTGAGCTATGGAGTCAGGACTCAACCCAGGTCTATCCCACCCTGAGCCCCACGCACTTTCTCCGCCCGCCGCTCTTGCTGTCCGGCACAGACTGAGCGAGCACAGAGTGGGGGCCCAGATCACATGAGACTGAGGAGGGGTGCAGGCTGGTGATGCAGCAGGATCCACTGAGCTGGGGCAGACAGGCTGCAAGGCCTCTCACTTGGGTGAGCAGCCTTGCTGCTGGGACCCTGAGCCCAGCATTCTTAGCTGTAAGTCTCAAGCCTGCTACCAAGGGAACAGCCGGCACTCAGCTCAAGTTTTCATTTCTTTTTTTTTTTTTTTTTAAGGCACTCAGCATATCAGCACAGAGGCCACAGCGTCACTGCTCCGGCGCTCCTGTCAATGATTCCAGAAGCATCTGCAGGCAGTGTCTTCCACCCCCTCTTCTCTGCGGCATTAGTTCTAACCTCACTGGCAGAGAATCAGGAACATTAATCCTGACCTTATTATTTGCTAATTGCTTGTAGCACACAATTAGCACCTAATTAACATAAAAACATAGAATTTAGCTCTCAGAAAGGCCCAGAAATTATCTAGATCAACGTACTCTTTTAGGAGAGGGAAAAAAAAATCAGAGTTAAAGTGATTCGCCCGAGGCCACACAGTGAGTCAGTGATAGATCTAGGGCAGAAATCAAGCCCAGTCTATGTCCCCCTAGTTGTCTCCTCAGCTAGACAGCCGAGGGTAGAGGTCATGCCTTCCTTTGGCTTCGCTATCACCTGCTGTCCCTAGCAGAGGCTTAGGGCCCGACATCCCCACGTAACAACAGCGCCAGTTACTTGGAGCCCACCTTGTGCCACATGCTGTGTCTCTCTTCAGTCTTACAGCCTTGGGAGGAAAATGCCCATCGTACAGATGAGGAAGCGGAGGCCTAGGGAGCTGAGAGCTAGGATTTGCTAAGAACTAGGATTTAAACTCAGCTGTTTGGAGTCTGAAGTCCATTTCTTCCTATTACACCTCCTTGCTTCCCCAGTCTACGGCCCGCACCCACAGCCTCTGTGATCTGATTCCCTCTGTCTTCCTTCTTGCATAAGAGCGACAGTAGCTGAGGGGGCTCTTTGGAGGTGAAGCTGGCAGAGGTGTCTTTTGCATCCACCAGTCTTCCTGCCCAGGACCCCTCCCATGCCCAGGGTCTCCTCAGCATTCCCACCTGGTCATGGTCAATATCGGCATCTCCTGTGATCACAATTCTCTTCTCAATCCGGGTCTCTGATATCCCACCTTTGACCGTCTGAAACCAAAGGGAGGGGGTCATATGAGAAAGAAAGAAAAAGAAACAGCAAGAGATTATTCTGAAAGTTCCACTCTAAATTTTAATCTGCTGCTAGGTTCTGGATAGGATAGCTTCTCACCTACTTGTCCAAAATCTTGGCTGAACCTGCTAAATGAACACACCTCTATCCCCTTGGGTTGCTAAAATCTTCAATAAGTGAAACCGAAAGTCAGAATTCTCTAGTTGTTTATTTTCCCCCTTTTCTTTCTCATAAATACCACAGAAATTCAGTGAGTAAACAAAATAGGTCTATTTTGTTCCTTCATTACTGTATATTTTATTTGACTATTTTCAGGAGGGGAAAAAAAATCAGAAGACTGACCAAAAGCCTCACACAACTTGAAAGTGGGTTCTTTACTTTAAAGCATTTTCATATTATTGATGTCAAAAGGGCCTCAAATAATCCCCTCAGCGTGGCCTGGTTTCCCGACTTGACACATGAAGAAAACCAAGGTCTAGGTATGCTAAGTAACTGGCTTCCAGTCATCCGTGTGTTGATGGGGGAGCTTGGTCAGAAATCTAGATTTCCTGCTTATAAGAACATGCATTTTCTTCCAGTGCTACAGCAAACATGGCTTGTCCCTGACTTCCCGAGAGCAGTCCCAATGTTAGATAGGTTGTCCCTCTTGCCCCCATAAGCACTACTGTGATAATTCCATTATTTCAGCATCCAAACTCTAGTTCCCATGGCCCTGATCCTGGACATGACATAAAAACTCCTTGTTGGACCCCGAGTTCTGATTTCTTGGCTTGGAAAATATGTTTGCATTATAATACCAACAAACTTGCCCTTATCGTTCCAATTTTAGTATATGTGCTGCCGAAGCGAGCACCAAACTTGCCCTTAAACTGACTTTTTAAACTTACCTCCACCACCAGATAAGAGACTCACTAATCGGAGAGACAGACGGATGTGAAAAGAACAACCACATGTGACTTATGAGACTAAGTAGGCAGGGGTACTCTCAGGGTCTCTCCAGGTTTATTCCTGGGGAAGCAGCAGGTCCTTCCACCTGGACACTTGGCATAATTTGGCTCAAAGGGGATGGAGTAGAAAACCCTGGTTTATGGACCAGGGTCGTTCCTGCAGAGAGGCAGTGAGCTTGCTGCACCACTGGATTCCAGCAGGAAGCACTGGCTGGTCTGTTACCTTGGTAATCTGAGTTGTGGTGGTGCTGCTGGTGGTCTCAGAGGTGATGGTCTGAGCTGTCAGCAAGACTCCTGGGTCCAAGTCCCCATTGCTCTCATCAGTCTACAGAGGGGAAGGAAGCACAACCCGTCATTATGCCTCAAAGGAAGCCTGGTGGGCAAATGCAGGATGCAGTTTTGCTCTTTAGCTGTCCATTCTAAATCAAACCCCCCGATTCCTTTACAGTGATCTCTTAATAAATCAAATTTTAAAAAATACCCTGGCAACATGGCTCCCTCTAAAAAAGTTGGAGGGGCCCAGTTTCCCATAGCACTGGGTCAGTAATAAGGGTAGATCAGAAAGAGGAGGCCGGGTGTAGCCGTAGGTTCAACAAGAGTCACAATAACTACGCACTGTCACATCTCTCTGATGCTCACACAGCACTATGAAGCAATTCAAAGGGCCGGGCCGAGGCCTATACTCCCAGGTAAGAAAACTCAGGCTCACAGAGGGAATGACTTGCCCACAAACTCAAAACTAGTGAGTGGCAGTTGTCCTCTCTACAGATCTGGAGCTCTTTATACACAGCACCCAGAACGGAAAGGGGCAGCCCCTGGTTGCTGAGGCATGGGTGGGTTCTGAATCCTAGGGAGAGCTTTCCAGAAAGGCCCGGGAAAGGCCAGGGAACCTCAGGCTATCTTCTTTGAAGATAGAGATGGGAGACTAGAACAATGAGGTAGGAAATGTCCATTTAAGGCAACGTGTAAGGAGATATAGACACTATCTCAAAGACATTTCTGATAACAACTCTGTTATTGAAATGGATCCTCCTTATTATAGGAGGGATTTAAAAGTATTCAGGCCCTGGCTGGGTAGCTCAGTTGGTTAGAGCATCGTCCCAATATGCCAAGTTTGTAGGTTCAATCTCTAGTCAGGGCACATACAAGAAGTAACCGATGAATGCATAAATAAGTGGGACAACACATCGATATTTCTCTCCTTCTCCCCCCCTCTACATTTAAAAAAAAAAAAGTATTCAAAATACAGTTCATCTATATGGAGAACAGGGCTGGGCTACTTCTTGTTTCTCTGGAGCTCACCACATTATGAGAAAGACAAACATTTTATGACCAGGCTGAGAAAGGACATTAGCAAAAAGGAAGAGGGATGGGATGGTTGGTAGGGGCCAAACTCAACTTGATGAAAAGTTAGGGCCTTTAGACTCAGACCGGCTGATTAACCCACAATCATTATGGAAACAAACAAGACCAGGAAGATGGAGGCTGCCTAGAGCAACATGCTTTTCAGATGATAATGATCTAAAATACCTGGTACTGGCATTGCACATTGTCTCAGAAAGGAATTTAGAGAATAGCAATTATTTTCACAAAAAATCCTGAAGCAAACATGTGTTAGGCCGCTATCTTTCTTTGCCACTTTATACAAGTCATCTGTATTATAAGCAGAGGCCTCCAACCTTTTTATGAGTAGGACTACATTTTATTAAGGACTACATTTTATTGAGATATGGGGTGGGGGATCAGGTGGAGGAAGGAGAAGAATTCCTAGCTGGGTTCCCTTCCAAGTAGGAATTTAGACAAGACAAAGAGAAGGAACATGGTCATGTCACCTAAGTCTCACACATATAGCAGTATCATACTGGGTATATTACTGGCTAGTTTGCTGATACTTTCTTTAGCCCAGACCCTCTTATCTACCTTAGCTTCAGGCTTAACTAATATTTACTGCACTCCTACTATGTGCCAAGCACATAATGCAACTGTTATCTCAATTACACTTAAGTAGGTCCTATTATATACTCACTGTATATAGTTAAGAAAACTGAGGTCCAGAGAGGTAAAGTAATTGGTCACAGTTCTATAGTTAATAAGCATTTGAAATGAGACTAAAAGCACGAAACTTCTTGTTTGAAGACTGAGGTTTGGGTCCCAGTTCAAATAACTGAGCAAGCTAGTCTGACTCCTCTGAGTTTTAGTTTTCCCATTTGTAACAGGTAATACTGTAGTAAGTGCCCTGTTTCCACCAGAGCATTGTTTTGAAGGTCAAAAGAGATTACAGAAATAATTTTATAAGTTGTTATATGAATATAAATTTGCATGCCAGGAGAGCTAAACCTTTTTATTTTTTAAATTGATTTTTAGAGCGAGAGGAAGGGAGAGGGAGAGGGAGGGAGGGAAGAAGAAAGGGAGGAAGGGAGGGAGAAAGAAGAGAGGAAGGAAGGGAGGTGGGGAGGGAGGGAGGGAGACAGAAACATTGATTGGCTTCCTTCTGCGCACACGCCCAGACTAGGAATCAAGCCATATCCTGGGCATTTGCCCTGGCCCGGAATTGATCTGGCAATTGCTCGGTGCACATACTGATGCCCAACCAACACCTGAGCCACGCCGGCCAGGGTGGGTAAACCTTTTTAAAGAGCTCCTCCTCTACTAAACCTGTGACTTTTTTTCTACCTTCCCTTGAACTCCTTACTCCTCCGTTTCTGTCTCTGAAGGAGGTGGAAGACAGAGGAGACATGGTTAGGATTTCCAACTTATACTCTTCCCACATCAGGCTTCTTTTCTTTGATCCTCTTACCAATGTTTCCTCACAACGGTACTGTGGCTCTGACAGTTGCTTATAAAGGTAAACATCCATTTATCCTGTGACCCGGCAATTCCACTCTGAGGTGTTTACCCAAGATAAGTGAAAACATATGTCCACAGAAAGACTTGCACACAAAGGTTTATAGCAGCTTTATTCAAATTTGCCCCAAACTGGAATCAACTCAAATGTCCATCAACAAATAAAAGGATAAACAAATTGTGGTATATTCACCCAATGGAATGCTATTCAACAATAAAAAACAGTGAACTATGGATTCATATGACATGGATGAGTCTGAAAAACATGTTCAGACACAAAAGTGTACTATTTCATACTCTATTTATTTGAAGTCCAAGAACAACTAAGCTATGATGATAGAAATCAGAATAGTTGCCGAAACCGGTTTGGCTCAGTGGATAGAGCGTCGGCCTGCGGACTGAAGGGTCCCAGGTTCGATTCTGCTCAAGGGCATGTACCTGGGTTGCGGGCACATCCCCAGTAGGAGATGTGCAGGAGGCGGCTGATCGATGTTTCTCTCCCATCGATGTTTCTAACTCTCTATCTTTCTCCCTTCCTCTCTGTATAAAATCAATAAAATATATTAAAAAAAAGAAAAGAAATCAGAATAGTTGCTAGAGGGGTAGGGACTGACTAGAAAAGTTATAAAGAAAGGAGTGATGGAAATGTTCTATATCCCAAATATGTCTTGGTTACACAGGTATATGTTTATCAAAGCCAATCAAATGCAACACTTAAAATCTGTGCATTTCACTGGATGTAAATTTGACCTCATGCACACACACATGCACATATACACAAACAGTAAAACCCTATTCTGGCTCCCTATCTCCTCTCACCCTGTTTCCCAACATGTAGAATTGTAGAAGAATAACAAAAAGATTCCTGGGCTTACTTGGCTGGCAATAAAGTAAAAATAGAAGTAGAAATACTTGTAACAAATAAATAATTATAATAGCCAAAAAGTATCTGGTGCTTATGTACAAGGTACGTTTTTCTACAGATTATTCACACCGTTTTTGCACTGTGCTTTTTCATGTATCAGTTTATCACATAGTCTATTCCCATCAGAAGCTTCTAAAAATAGCTGCCTAGACTCACCTTCATTGAATGTACCATAATTTATTTAACCTGTTTCCCACTGATGGACCTTTAGGTTGTTTCCATGGTAGTGACAACGTAAAGGGCTCCCTCCCATAAGCAAGTAATTCTTTCCTACATCCTCTGGCTAATTGTGTGCACAATCTTAAAGTCCTTTCCTATTCCTTCCTTTTAGTCCCCTTCACTGCCAAGTCCTACCTATTCATTCTCTCTCTCTTTCACATGTCCTCAGGCTACACTTCAGTTCCTCACCAGCATCTCCCCACACCTGCTTTCGTCATATTCCTGTCTCCAGGCGCTCCCCTACTTCAACATATGCAGCACACAGCTTTAGGAATCATCTTCCAAAATTGTTGCTTTCATTATGCCACTTTATCACCACTATTAAAAAACTTCAAGCGACCTCTCATTATTTACCAAACTCAAATTCCACGCTCTAGACCACAAGAAAGAGAAGGGGGACGCGTTCTAACATTACATGTCTGTGAAAGCACTAAGCACTTTACAGACGTCGTTTCACTTAGTCCTCCCCCAGATCTTGCAATGAGTGATCCAGCTAGTCATCCTGTAGGCCTTGGCCAAAATGTCACCTCCTCAGAGAGGGTTTCCCGAATGACTACTCCAGCCCCAAAGTAGCAACCTTTCATGTTAACTCAGATTGTTTAACTATTTTAGTTTCTTTATAGCACATATTACTGTCTGAAATTTATATATTTATTTGTTGTTTTATTGTCTGTCTCTCCTGATCAAATGTGAGTTCCGGAGGATATGGCCAGTGTTTACCTGTACACTGCTTTGGCCTAATAAATAAATGCTCAAGAAATATTTAGCGCTGGCTGGAGTGGCTCAGTTGGTTGAGCATTGTCCTGTGCAGGGAAAGGTTGCCAGTTTGATTCCTAGTCAGGGCACATGCCCAGATTTTAGGTTCAGTCTCGGTTGGGATGCGTGTGGGAGGCAGTTGATCAATGTTTCTCTCTCTCTGAAATCAATAAAATAAAAAATAAAAAAAGAAACAAGCAATGAATGCATAAATAAGTGAAATGACAACCTGTCTCTGTCTCTGTCTCTGTCTCTGTCTCTCTCTCTCTCTCTCTCCCCAAAAAATCAATAAATTTTTTTTTCTTAATATATTTTATTGATTTTTTACAGAGAGGAAGGGAGAGAGATAGAGAGTCAGAAACATCGATGAGAGAGAAACATCGATCAGCTGCCTCCTGCACATCTCCCACTGGGGATATGCCCGCAACCCAGGTACATGCCCTTGACCGGAATTGAACCCGGGACCTCTCAGTCTGCAAGCCGATGCTCTATCCACTGAGCCAAACCGGTTTTGGCCAAAAAATCAATAAATTTTAAAATTTTTTTGAAAGAGAAATATTTATTGCCTACGATCATGGAAGCCCCTGTGAGTGGGGTCAGTGGGAGTGGTGGACTATACAGTGTGGCTGCAATACATAAATGAATGAATTAACAGCTTGGTTTATAGAGGGTTTCTTACTGTTGGCTCCTGTGAATTAAAAAAAGAAAAGAAAAATAATTCAATATAAGCAACCCTAGCTCATTCAAATTGCCAATAATAAAAGAGAAAGTTTATTAAAAGTAGGACATAAATGGAATTTTAAATACTTAAATTCTTATGTGATGTTAAATTTAATTTAATTGCACTAATAGATTATAATTATTATAGCTGTTACTAATTTCTGCTTTCAGGCATGGTGCTCAAGTCAATTCCATGCAGTACAATGTTTTATAAAATCTTCCTAACAAAATCATGAAGTAGATACAGGCACTAACATCATGTGGACTAGAGGAGGGGATGGGCAGGGCAGCAAGGCTCAGAGATATTCTGTTATTTGCTTAAGTTAACAAGTGGAGAAGCCAGGACCTGAACTCAGGTTTGTTTGACCCAAAGCTCATGTTCTTTTTTTAAAAAAAATATATTTTAATGATTTTTATAGAGAGGAAGGGAGAGGGATAGAGAGTCAGAAACATCTACGAGAGAGGAGCATCAATCAGCTGCCTCCTGCACACCCCCTACTGGGAAGGTGTCTGCAACCAAGGTACATGCCCTTGACCGGAATCAAACCTGGGACCCTTCAGTCCTCAGCCCAACACTCTATCCAGTGAGCCAAACCGGTCAGGGCAAACTCATGTCCTTAACCACTACACTAGACTCCCTTCACTAAGTGAACAGGGTGGATATCAGCAATCAGATCCAAGACAATTTTGATTTTATAAAGTATGTCGGTTCATTCTTAGATCAGTGATCTCTACTAAAAAGAATGGCCCCAGAAAAGCCTAGTGTTAATTGGAGTAAATAATTAGAAACCATGTGAACAAAGGCTATTTACTGTGTTTACTCAGCCTTTGCCCCTGAGACATAAACCGCGTCCTACCTGAGCGGCCTCGTAGGTGATGGTCTTGGTCTCGGTGTGGACAATAGGGACGTCTTTGGTTGGGATCTCGCTTTTCGCGGCATTGGCCGTGTCTGAGATGGTGACGGTCTGAGTCTTCACCAGAGGAGGCTGTGAAGCAGTAAAGACACAGTTACCAGAATCTTCTGAAGGCTGTGGGGAATTAATCTTCTGACATTGATCTGATCAAAGTGACAGCTCTAATCAAGCAAAAGCCTAGCTCAATCTCTGCCCAAGACTTGGACACTACTCCAAAGTAGTGCTGACAAGGTGTCAAATCATGAGGGATATTAAAGAACAGCATTACTGCAATAACTTTCATATGCTTAATGGAAAGTTATAAGATCAGACAATTATGGCTGGTGATATAAAACACTTCAGACTGACCTTCAGAATTTGAAAATAAAACTATCTGCCAAATAGCAGTCACTTTTGTTGTCCTTGTGACCGTACCATTAAAAAAACCCAGCCACATTTTCTCCAATAAGTTCAAGTGGTACATGAAACAGCAGTGGCATTGAAATGCATTACCCTGAAATTCATTAATTTCTTTCAAATCAATGTCAGACATCCACTTTGGAGTAATTGAGAAGAAACAATATTTGGAAAACGGGAAAGAAAATAATCACTTTTACCACCACCTGGTGATTAATATCAGAATTTCAGAAGAATTAACATTAGTGGAATATCAAAGGCTTCTTGTCCATCAGTTCACCTTCCCCAAGACTATAAATCACCCTACAACTACCATTTGACTGTGATACAGTTATGTGGCCACCCACCTTAGCATAGAAGATTAGTGCCTATGATCATGGAAGCCCCTGTGAGTGGGGTCAGTGGGAGTAGTGGGCTGTACAGTGTGGCTGCAATACATAAATAAATTTTGGGAGCCTGAAATCTCATAATAAAATCAGTTACGCCTTCTAATTAGGAGTATTTGAGTTTTTTGAGCATGGTATCAGAACACTGTAGGTTCCTCATCATGTAAGTCTCAGAAATTCATCTCTTTACATCGCCCACACTTGAGCAAGGAAAAGAGAAACACACACCAGCTTCATAAAGGCAAACAGATGGAGTTCACCCTCAAAAGTCTTGTTAAATCATCAAGGGAGAAAGCATTTCATGGAGTTAATTCCCCTGACTAAATTTCTTTATAGTCGTCAAGGGCTTCAATTTTATTCTGTGATTTTGAGAAAAGCAGACAGACTACTACCCTCATTACCATCACCATCACCACCATCACCACCACCACCACCACCACCACCACCTCCACCTCCTCTACAGAACAGATTCTGGCCCTCTCCCAAAGTGAGTCATTAGACCTGCATCATTAAATCAGTTACTACCTGGAAACTTCGAATGAGGGTGGGGAACTGGTTACCCACACAAGAGTCAGCAAATGATCCATTTTGCTTTCCAAGTGGCTCTCCTGGTGTAACATGTTCTTCACTACTCTCTGCCTTTTTTTCACCAAGTTGCAGCTGAGAGGAAGCTGGTGATACTGAGAGCTTTAAGGCACTGGCCTGTTCCTCCACTCCTATACATTCCCCACTTGGGCCTCCTGGCATTTCCTTAATATCAAGATGGCCAGCAGCCCCCTGCTCCTTCTCTTCTGTTTCCTTGCTGCTTATGGAGAGGGAGCCACAGTCAAAGCTTTGTGGAGACTCCGCGGGGGTAGTCATTTGGCTCTTACTAGGAATTACTGAATGCTCGGGGCCCTCCCATTCAGAGTCAGGGTTGGTAGATGGCCCCTTTGTCACGGCAGCCGCCTCCTCTGTGCGAATGCCATTTATATTCTACAAATGAATGAACACATACAAAAGCAAGAAGATTAGGAATAAATGGGGAATATAGTAAACTCTGAGAATCAACAATGATTTTTAAGAGGCCTCAAAAATATTAATATTAATACTAATATAAACTAATAATCTTAGCTCATGAGGTAGTCAAAGGAAGAATTAAGCAGCTTAAGCAGTTCCAGCCTTATTTGGGTCATGATTCTAAAAGTCTGTTAATCTGAGAAGTAATTTCGATGTCCCTTGCCCTGTACCAAGCACTTTGTATTATTTTGGTCTTTCCTGTATAACATACTCTCATACTTAAAGGAGTTAGTTACTTTGCCATTCCTAAATACCCAACTCATTACTAGACACAGGAACAATGCAACCTAAGAGTCAATCAAACCATATTCTTGAGAAGCCTGATCAAGTTGAAAAATGTTTCATATCTCCAAGCCATATGTATCATCATATTAGCATCTAATGCAGAAGCTGAAATCTAGACTTTCGTTGGCAGTGATATAAAAGTTGAGTTCATCTGGCACAGGCTTAATTCAATTATTGCCATGAATTCAATGTAATATCAAAAGTAGTGAAACATTTCTGTGTAAATAAAATAAAAGTGACCCAGCAGCTGAGGTCATTTCTTCACAGATGAATGACTAACATCGGCAACCCCTAAGGGAAATGAATCCTGGAAACACAGAGTTCCCTCTGAGGCTAAACGCCTCACATCCCGGGAAAACAGATCTAAAATAAGTACTTTCAAGAGAATGTGGATGAGAAGAAAATGCCATAGTAGGCCTATTCCTAAAGTTTAAAGAAAGGCGCTGAAGGTGGAAGAGAAGGAGTTCACACTAGTAAGAAAAGAACGAGTCATTTGAAAAACGAACGAACAATCTAACAGAAGCCAAATGTCATGGGAAGTAACATATTCAAATACTCTCCAGAAAGCTGTAAATATGCCACTTGGGCCTGAAAATCTAGTTAGGGCAATTTACCATATTACATACCACATAGGAACTGGATCCCAGACAGGCTCTCTTAAGAAGGTGTTTCTGAACTAAATGACATATGCTTGGACCAGCTTACACATTTTAGTACCCACATCACTGCTGCTCCTTTACTTGTAAACCAGCCTACATTGTGATATTGTGATGAACATAAACCAGCACTCTGTTAAGGCAAGAGAAGAGGCAGTGTACCAAGAACTTGAGGCCACTTTTCTTCTAAGCCATCTTTTTTATTATTATTATTGATTTCAGAGAGGGAGAGGGAGAAAAAGAAAAAGATAGAAACATCAATGATGAGAGAGGAACATGATCAGCTGCCTCCTGCATGCCCCCTAATGAGGATTGAGCCTACAACCTGGGCATGTGCCCTTGACCGGAATTGAACCCGGGACCCTTCAGTCCGCAGGCTGATGCTCTGTCCACTGAGCCAAACCAGCCAGGGCTCTTCTAAGCCATCTTAAAACAAGAGCATCACAATTTCGATTAGGCAGGTCTTTCACTGACTATTATAAATTGACTAAGGACATTAAAAAATTGAATTGAGAAATGACCATGCAAACTGTCTCTGTCGGCAGATATAACAGAGATATATAAAATATCTTGCTAAGGTATATGATTTCATCATACTCAAAACGAGGATAATTCTCAATTTGACTTATAGGTTTCTGAGGATCAAATACAATAAACTAAATGAAAGCACTTTGTAAACTCTCAAGTATCATATAGATTCACTTAATTCAATCAACATTATCTGAGCACTTATAATATGCTAGGGCCTGGGGACACTAGAATGAACTTGTAATATTATAAACATACTAGAGGACCGGTGCACCAGTGGGGTCCCTCGGCCTGGCCTGTGCTCTCGCAATCTGGGACCCCTTGGGGGATGCCAGAGAGCCGGTTTTAGCCCGATCCCCGCAGGCCAGGCGGAGGGACCCCATCGATGCACAAATCCATGCACCGGGCCTCTAGTATGCATATAAGATCTTTGGTTAATCTCTTTCCGCCCTCTCCCCTGCCCCCTTCCCTCTGAGATTCATTAGTTTGTTCCATGTTTCCATGCCTGTGGTTTCTGCTCCTGCGTTGAGAGTCTGCCCCCCTGGTGGCCAGTGCGCATCATAGCTACGCACTGATGACCAGCCAGTTGGCTGGTCACTTAGGCTTTTATGTCTATAGACTAGAGGTCTGATGCACGAAATTCGTGCAAGGGCCTTGGCCCCAGCCCCTGCCCACCACCGCCATGGCCAGGGGTCTCTGCCGCCTCTGCCTTGGCCCCCGCCTGCTGCGGCTTTGTCTGGAAGGACATCCGGTCTAATTAGCATATTACGCTTTTATTATTATAGATTGTACTTTCTAAGGCACTTATCCTACCATTTCTTTGGGGTTACACAAGCTGATATAGAGAAATCAAGAAATAGATTAGCCCTAACCGGTTTGGCTCAGTGGATGGAGCATCAGCCTGTGGACTGAAAGGTCCCAGGTTCGATTCCAGCTAAGGGCATATACCTTGGTTGTGGGCACATCCCCAGTAGGAGGCGTGCAGGAGGCAGCTGATTGATGTTTCTCTCTCATCGATGTTTCCAACTCTCTATCCCTCTCCCTTCCTCTCTGTGAAAAATCAATAAAATATATTTATAAAAAGAAATAGATTAGCTGATAATAAACAAATAGGCTTTCTCAAATTGCTACATGCTAGCTCTGTGAATGGCACATCCAAACCTATATACATGGAGAGGAACTTTATGGCTTTTCCATATATATACATTTACAACTGAGAAGGCTAATTAATAACCAGGAAAATACCTAAGATAATCAATCAAGTAAGAGACAATTTTATACCAGTCTACTCAAGTGATAAGTGGTGGTCTGTCATCAAGAAGCCATTTATGAATTAAACGTTGTGTAGGCCAGCACCACCTGGCCCAAAGTTGCCTACTGCTGAGTAAAATTAGATCAATCATTTTTTTCAAAGCATAGACAGAGGAGACCAAGGGTAAAAGCTGTAGTCACAGTAATATCAATTCAACAAATATTTACTGATCACCTAATATGTGTTAGTCATTGGAAGGAAAGGAAAACTGATAACAGTTGAGCTAAATTGCCACTTACAGCATTCTCACATAAGTCAAATCCACCTCTCCAGTTGGCTCTGTTGTCCAGATCTCTTGGACAACACAACCAACGACTTACTGGACATCCTCCCAGGCATATGGAATGCAATATGCCCCAAATTAAACTCATCTCTGCTACCGTCTGGACCTGTCACCCCAACCTCCTCCATCATTTCTATTACGCTGGTAGACAGCACCATCATTCATCCAGTCCTCCATGCTAGAACCCTGAGAACCATCTTCAATGCCTTTCTTACACTCATCACCACCTCCCATAGATTACATCAGCAAGACATTCTATTCCACTTTAACGTCTCCCTTACCTACCTGCTTGTTTTGATCCCCACATTTACTATCTTCATTCAGGCTCTTATAATGCCTCACCTGGCTTACTACTCATGCATTAAACAGTGTTTCTTCTTAACTTCTTTCTTATCTAAAACCTTCCTTAAATACACCCTCTATTCTTCTGCTAAAATGTTATTTCTAAAAAAGAAACATTGAAAATTCCATTTTGCAGTTTAAAACCCTTCAGTGGTTCTTCATTGCCTTCTGGTTAAAGTCCAGACCCTTTAGTAAGACAGAAAATACTTTAAAATATGACTCCTACCTCTCTCTCCATCTTCACCCTGCTATACCTCCACACACATCCTTCTCTCCATTAATTCAAAATTATTTGCAGTTTCTAGAACAGAGCATGCTTTCTTTTGCCTCTGTGCCTTTGTAAGTACTGTCAACATCCTTCCTTCTACCTGGAAGTCCATGCTCAGCTCAAGGGTCAGTTCTTCTGAACGTTCCATCCTGGCTGCCTAGAGCAGGGGTCCTCAAACTTTTTAAACGGGGCCAGTTCACTGTCCCTCAGACCGTTGGAGGGCCGGACTATAGTTTAAAAAAAAACTATGAACAAATTCCTATGCACACTGCACATATCTTATTTTTAAGTAAAAAAACAAAACGGGAACAAATACAATATTTGTATTTGCATGTGGCCCGCGGGCCGTAGTTTGAGAAACCCTGGCCTAGAGTATGTTTAGATACCATTCCTCTTTTGATCCCATTGTACTCTGTCATTAATGCTTTAGTCATCAGTCTTTTCCATTAGACTATGAGCTCCTTGGGGGATAAGTACTTACTATATTACTTAGCTATATTACTATGTACTCTCTTGTACAGTTTTTAGAACCTAATAGATGTTAAGTAAAAACTTGTTGAAAGTATACAATATCCAGACTTGAGAACTTCTGCTTCGCCTTGTGCTATGCAAAAACTGAAAAGGTATGTTTAGAAAGAACATAAAATATGAGCTATTGTCTAGTCCAGCATTTTATCTCCTACATCAGTAAAATAAGAGGAAAACTAACATTATTACATGTTCACCATGTGCCAGGTACTGTGCTAGTCAAACATGTTTCCTCATTTAATTTTTCAGCTCACTATGAGGTGGGTCACTATCTCTATTTTATAGATGAAGAGATGGAGAGGTTAAGCAACTTAGAACTAGTAAGTGATGGAACTAGGATTTAAACTCAAATCAGTCTCTGGTTCTAAAGTCCATTTCTTTTCATGGTACCAGAAATCATTTCAAGTAGGACCAAAGGATAAATCCATCAAACCTGACTATACTTTTGAGAAATACAAAGGTTATCCAAAGTCTGCTTATCAAAGTTTGATTTTAGTGGCCAACACTATTCTTCCTCTCTCTCTCTCTCTCTCTCTCTCTCTCTCTCTCTCTCTCTCTCTCTCTTTCTTTCACATAAAGGGTTTATATTAAATATTTTAAGGATAGGATAGAGTTACATCATAATTATAAAAATCACTTACAAAATTAAAGATTTATATTGCGTATACTTCTAAATGGAGAGAACAGGGAACTCTCTACACATTGTATAAAATT